TTAATTCTCGCTGTCCAGGCTGGAATGCAATGGCATGATCTCAGCTCACCACAACCTCCACCTCCCGGGTTCAAATGATTCTCTTGCCTCAGCCTCCCGAGTAGCTGGGATTACAGGTATGCACCACCACACCTGGCTAATTTTGTATTTTTAGTAGAGACAGGGTTACTCCATATTGGTCAGGCTGGTCTCAAACTCCCGACCTCAGGTGATCTGCCTGCCTTGACTTGGCCTCCCAAAGTGCTGAGATTACAGGTATGAGCTTTTTGCAGTGAGCCGAGATCACGCCACTGCACTCCAGCCTGGGTGACAGAGCAAGACTCTGTTTCAAAAAAAAACAAACCTGGAAAAGAAAGAATACTTGTTTATGTGGGAGAAGTATATATAAAACGAAAATTCAGGCTGTTTCCACAGTGCTGGGAAGTGGCTACAAAGAGGCTTGTGGGGGCTATGAAACTCTGGTCTTGAGATATAAACTTTGTTCTGACTGGGTGAATTCTTTAGCAGATCTTACTGTTCTTTCTGCAGAAGATATCATTCTCCTACCTCCCCAACCCCCAAAATCTCTAATACAGGCCAAGTCATTTTTGTTGATGGGTCTCTGAGATAGGGGAGTTTGTTGGAGGAGAGGCTAGGGTAGGAAGGGACAGAATGGAGGTATCTGAAAAAAAAGTAAGAAAAAGGCATTCATTTTTATTCACTCAGAACCGACCTCTTGGCATCCCAGATAAGAGAAATAAGATTTGATCTCCACTGTATTGCCATGGAGAGAATGGCAAGTGAGGATGCTTTGAAGTAGTTAGAAATTAAATATTGAATACATTAATGGCAATACCATTTCATGATTTTGCATATCTTTCTGGATTAGTCATGGAAGTTGGGGAAATATTGCGTAGATCTTCTGGGTTAGAGGATTCCAACTGGTTTACTGGCCAGGTTGGGTTTTTGAGAATCAAATAACACAAAAATGGCTGGGCATGGTGGTTCACACCTATAATCCCAGCACTTTGGGAGGCTGAGGCGTGTAGATCACTTGGGGTCAGGAGTTCGAGACCAGCCTGGCCAACCTGGCAAAACCCTGTCTCTATCAAAAATACAAAAATTAGTCGGGTGTCCTGGTGCACGCCTGTAGTCCCAGCTATTCTGGAGACTGGTGCAAGAGAATTGCTTGAACCTGGAAGGGAGAGTCTGCAGTGAGCTGAGATTGTGCCACTGTACTCCAGCCTGAGCAACAGAGAGAGACTCTGTCTCAAAAAAAGAAAAAAAAAAAAAAAAGCCAGGCTTGGTGGCTCACACTTATAATCCCAGCACTTTGGGAGGCTAAGGTGGGCAGATCACCTGAGGTCGGGAGCTCAAAACCAGCCTGACCAACATGGAGAAACTAAAAATACAAAAAATTAGTCAGACATGGTGGCACATGCCTGTAATCCCAGCTACTCAGGAGGCTGAGGCAGGAGAATTCCTTGAACCCGGGAGGCGGAGGTTGCAGTGAGCCAAGTTCACACCATTGCACTCCAGCCTGGGCAACAAGAGTGAAACTCCATCTCAACAACGACAACAACAAAAAAGACATATGGATCAGAGTTGGTGCTTGAGCAGGAGAAACTGAGAGCTTAGGATGGTTGTCTCCTTCAAAATAAAGCTGCTTTAGGAGCTGAGCATAGTGTCTCATGCCTGTAATCCCAGCACCTTGGGAGGCTGAGGCAGGAGGATCACTGAGGCCAGGAGTTGGAGGCCAGCCTGACCAACAGAGCAAGACCTTGTCACTATAAAAAATAAAAAAAAATTAGCCAGATGTGATTTCATGCACCTGTACTCCCAGCTACTCAGAAGGCTGAGGTGGGAAGATTACGTGAGCCTGGGAGGTTGAGACTGTAGTGAGCCATGATTGTCCCACTGCACTCCAGCCTAGGCAACAGAACAATAAACACCTGTCTCAAAACAATAAAATATATAAAATAAAGCTGCTGGGCCAGGTGTGGTGGTTCACGCCTGTAATCCCAGCACTTTGAGAGGCTGAGGTGGGTGGATCACGAGGTCAGGAGATTGAGACCATCCTGGCTAACATGGTGAAACCCAGTCTTTACTAAAAATACAAAAAATTAGCCAGGTGTGGTGGCACACGCCTATAATCCCAGCTACTCGGGAGACTGAGGCAGGAGACTCGTTTGAACCCGGGAGGCAGAGGTTGCAGTGAGCCGAGATCACGTCACTGCATTCCAGCCTGGGTGACAAGGTGAAACTCCATCTCAAAAAGAAAAAAAAATAGCTGCTTTAGCAATATCAGTATTAATGGCAGGAATTTTAGATGCTACATTTTTTGGCCTTCAGCCTTTCTCCCCAGAATAGAAAGAAATAAATTTTAATACTTCTATTCTTGTTCCTAGCTTCAGGGAAATTAATTATAAATGTATAAGTGTGCCTTCCTTTCCCATTACTACCTTTATAGGATCTTCTAATGCTAATGCTAAAGTTGAGGTCTCTTAATTGAAATGTGGGAGAATTTGGCTTTATGTTTTGTATGTGTGTGTGTTTTTTAAGACATGGGGTCTGAATGCGTTATCCCAACTGAACTTAAACTCTTCTTGGGCTCAAGTGATCCCCTTTCCTCAGCTTCTTGAATAGCTGGGACTATAGGCACTTGCCACCATACCCAGCTGGCTTTAGATTTTTTTGTTTTTGTTTTTGAAAGGGAGTCTTGCTCTGTCACTCAGGCTGGAGTGCAGTGGTGCAATCTCAGCTCACTGCAACCTCTGCCTCCTGGGTTCAAGCAACTCTCCCGCCTCAGCCTCCCAAGTAGCTGGGACTACAGGTGTGCACCACCATGCCCAGCTAATTTTTTTGTATTTTTAGTAGAGATGGGGTTTCTAGAGATGGGGTTTCACCATGTTGGCCAGGATGGTCTCGATCTCCTGACTTTGTGATCCACCCACCTCAGCCTCCCAAAGTGCTGGGATTACAGGTATGAGCCACCACGCCTGGCCCTAGTTAATTTTTATTTTGCCTTTGCCCCTTCTTCAGCCTTACCCTTGCATTATTAAAATTTTTGTGTCTGCTCAGTAATGTTAGAAACCAAATTGACTTTTTTTTTTTTTTTTTTTTTTTGAGACAGAGTCTTTCTCTGTTGCCCAGGCTGGAGTGCAGTGGCATGATCTCGGATCACTGCAACCTCCATCTTCCAGTTCAAGCGATTCCCCTGCCTCAGCCTCCTGAGTAGCTGGGACTACAGGAACCTGCCACCACGCCCGGCTAATTTTTGTATTTTTAGTAGAGCCAGCATTTCACCATATTGGCCAGGCTGGTCTCAAACTCCTGACCTTGTGAGCTGCCCACCTCAGCTGGGCACAGTGGCTCACACCTGTAATCCCAGCACTTTGGGAGGCCGAGGCAGGAGGATCACTTGAGGCCAGGAGTTTGAGACCAGCCTC